ACTTGATTACATGTCCCAATGCATAATCATAGTGTATAACTCATCCATTTTTACTTTTCGTGTTTTTCCTAGATGCGACATTATACCGTCATGTATGCATGTACCTATACTTTTCATAAAAATATTGTTTTATTTTTAAAAGTATAGTTGTATGGAATATGTTTAGAAAGAGAATCTTAGTCCCATTGTGTTTATAGTTTGTATATCTAATGTGGTTCGATATACTTAGTTCACTATAAACAATTCTCTAATACCAATCTGTCACACCCCTAAACCAAGGATGGCGGAAACATCCGGGGGTGGAGGACTTCATGTATAAGATCACAACAACGACTATAATAGTGATCAAAGTAAATACAACCATCATAAAGATAATCGAGAAAGTTACATGGTTTTAAGAGTACATGTTTCAAGATCGATTACAATATAATGATAAAATGGTTTGTCTAACAGCGAAGCGTTCTATCCTCAAAAGCTGGTAGTCACCTTTTTTATTGATTACCTGAGAATACAGGTAAATTTTGAAAGAGTGTCAACAATTATGTTAGTGAGTGCATAAGCTTTTGTACATAAAGTTGAAAACCATTCTTTGTAAATGAAGTGTATGCACAAGAAAAATCAAATATTTTCCTTATAATATAAGTTGCAATCTTAAGACCCAAAGACCGAAATGTACAAGTATTTTTCCATACTTATAATAATGTATGCAATTTTATATAAATAAAACCCATTTTAATGTAGAAATCCCCGTGAACTATATGTGTCGATATTTCCCTATGTGAGTTATTATAACTATACTGGTTGACATAGTAACTTGTTACGACATTCTTCAGGCGTCGAAATGTTATGACATATGTCACCTCATACCTACCGGTCTAGCTGTTGCATGCAACTAAGGTGTGGGTTGTCAATTCCAATATAGATCTATATACAATTATCACACTCTCCCTACAAGAGACTCTGGTTATAACTACAGGATTTTAACCAGTACTCTAAGAGTATGATGAAGTAGTGCCTCACAACCGGATTTAACGAGTTTACATGTAGTGTAATTGAAAATCCTTTTTGTAGTAGGATTATAACCTTCCTTAGTAAGTTCATAGAGTTGATGTAACATAAAATATACCTATTATAGCTTATCATATATGTACGTATGTATGTAGTAAATTAAAAACCCTTTTGTAGTGAAAACTGAACCTTTCATAGTGAATTGTAATGTAACGAAACATAAACTCTACTTTTTATAGTTTATCTTATATGTTTGTAGTGAATAAAAACCCTTATGATGGATGAACATTTTTATTTCATAAGTGTAACTTAACAGGAAACACAAGTCAATATGTAGTCATCATTGATAAACACTTTGCTCAACAAATTACAAAGTGTTAGTAAACTTGTAAACCATTTATAACTAGTTTTAACTTTTCTGTCACTATTTTTGTAAAAATCACAGAAAAATCATCGGGAGTCAAAATTTGAATCTGTAAACGCCGGAAGTTCAGAAAATGTGTCTAGTATGCTCATAATTTTTATTAAGATTGTTAATGGTCTCTAACCAGTGTGAAAATGGCCATAACTTTTCTGTTGAAAGCTATTATTTAAGTTTGAGCATGTTTTGGAGTTGTAACTTGTATTCTCCCCCACAAAACTAGAAGAAAAATGAAAACATGGGGGGTATGAACTCACCTTGAGTGATTCCATGAGATGGATGGTTGAAGAAAAGGGGTTTACAAGTCAAGAACACTTAGAGAATGCTTAGGGATTTGAAGGTCCATGATTTGAGTGAAGGAATGTAGAATATTTAAGAGTAATAATGACGAACTTACCAAGAGTTAGGGAAGAACTCATAACCTTCAGGGAGTTTTGAGTTCCAGAGAGAAGAAAAGAGAAAGAAAAAGTGTGTGTGAGTGTGTTTGATTTTGGATGAGGCAAATGAAACTTTTAGGAAATGTGGAGAATATAGAGTTTTATGGGGATTTGGTGTAAGAAAATATGATGGAGTGTTGGGAAGAGTAGAAAATGACAATGATTTGACTAGGTAGAGTGTGAATAGTGAGATAAAGTGGGTATGAGGATGGCTTGGTGTCATAACTTATTGGAAAAGTCAACAAACCCATAGATAGTATCTTGTACTAAAGATATGATCTACAATAAGAATTTCCCAAAATAGGAATAAAATAAGGGTTTATGGGTTCTAATATGTCAAAATACGAGTTCCAGTGAAAATCCCCCGTCAAAATCATCAAAAACGAGATTAAAATGCAAAAGTGGTCAAAACAGGGAAAGAGAAGCGAGGATGCGAGAGGGTTCGCGAGGGAGGGGACTTGGTGCGAACACTCGGAACCGAGAACGAGGGGGAAACGGCTCGTGCCAACGCGTCTGGTGCGAGAGTAGCTTCATTGCGAGAGTTGGGTAGGAGACGAAGGTCTCCGATTCACATGCGAAGTTGGCCGATCAAAAGAGAAAGGATTTTGCGAATCTACTCGGTTTAGAAGTGAAAGTGCCCGGCTGCGAGTCTTGTTGGTCCGAGATGCGAAGGCTGACTGCGAGTTTGCTCGATTCGTTGCGTGGGGCACCGGATGCGAAATCCCGTAGTAGATGCGAACCTCTTTCTGATTATGAATGTTGTTGCGAGCTTGCGAGGACGTGCGAGAGTTCGCAGGTGAATAGTGACATGCGAACCTTCAGGCCTCTGTTTGACTTCCTTTTTCCGTTTTAAGTTGTTCTCGACCTAGGGAAGGTTTGGGCTGGTACGGATGACCATATCAACGTTGGAAAAGGTGGTTTTTATTACCCAAAGTTCTTAAAGAGATTAGGAGAGATTTGCGAGAGATTAGGAGATATAGAAATAGAGTGGGAGAGATTGAGAGAGACTTTGTGTGTAGCCTTCGATTGTGTTTGGCCCCATGATGCAAGGTTCGTAAACCTCATTATGCCTCGCTGAGTGTTTTACACTCCCGAAGGGTGCTTAATAGCGCTTTATAAAGTCATTACATCACTTACCCTGGTTAGGGTTTAGAACTTCTGGACATTTGAACTTATGAGTGATAATTTGTATTTTGATAGAAAGTTGTACATTAGAAAATGTAGAATATACCCTATTGCACAAGCAGAATTTTGTTGACTTTGACTTAACTAGAATTTGACGGTTGTCACAGATGATATTTGAATTTCCAAATTAAAATATGATATTTATAGAATTCTTATCCCCATCCATTTAACCCTATACGTTCAAAGAAGTAGCATCCATCATCTTCTCTAAACATACACCATCGCCGTCGGCAACAACCGTCGCCATCAACAACCACCAGATCTGTATCACCACTAGTTAACGTTGTCAACATTCATCTATCTTCTCACATTGACGTGATCCAACACCATTTTGAGCATTGTCACTAGGAGATCATCTTCATGTTTTATTTAATCACAGTCACTAAAAGAGTGTCGTCCTTTTTTTTAAACTCGCAAACCAGAATATCATCTTCATCTCTTTTTCTTTTATTGTTATGATTTTGAGTTTGTCCAGTTTCTCCTTATTATATTTCTCCTTTTTTTTGTCAATCATGTACTCAATAAAACTCGACCAAAATTTTGTCTAAATATATTGTGTTTACACTATGTTGAAAGAAGATAAAACAATGCACAAACATATAACAATTTTATTTTTAAAGAATACGGATTAAAACTCAATTCTTTAAGAATACAGATAAAACTCACATTCTAACCATTTTAATCTTGAAGAACATGCTTACATGTAATTCTTAGCCATACTTAAAGAATTCAAATTAAAAACTTAATCATTGTATTCTCATTTTCAACAATTTATACTTAGTAAGTATGTTAAAATTCTTTAAAAAAAAATTAGAATTCATAAGTAATTCTTTTATATCGCAAATTAGAAATCCACTTTCAACTATTCCATTCTTAAAGATTATGACTACTACTTATAAAGCATTCGTCATACTCTTAAAGAATATAAATAAAAAACCTTTTTTCTAAGTTATGTATATGGTCACTGATAACCAAAGATGCATACATAACCAAAGTTGCATACATAACTAGAGACAAGTTTTAAACCTTTTTATTCTTAAATAATAAAACTATTGATAACTTAATTATTGTATTCTTAAAGAATACAACCTAATAAACCATTTTTTGTGATGTTTATACAACTAATCAACCTTTTTGTTTATGAAATTATTTAGTAATTGTGATGGTGGAAAAAACGATTTAATAAGAACGGATGTTATGAAACGAAGTTTCTGAATACCAGTAATTTCCTAAATTATTGTTGAACAAATTGTAAATTTTAACCTTATAAAAAATATATAAAAATAGAAAATAATTAATTTTTTTCTTATTAATTACCACTATGCAGTAAAAATTTATTGTTTAAGAATGAGAATAATAAGAATGTAAATTGACAACCCTAAAAGAAAAAAAAAATTAACTTTTCAATTTTGATTTTTATTAATTAATTTGACTTTGTTGCCTAAAATATAGATATTTTTTATTTCTCTCTCATAATAAAATATTATAAATCCTTTTATAATTATTTTCATGTAATTATAGAGTAAATGATAACCTATATTAAAAATATATATCTAAGATCATAAATACATTCTTTTATCTAATGATCATACATTCATATAAGAATTATGATTTATATTTGATTATATATATATATATATATATATATATATATATATATATATATATATATATATATATATATATATATATATATATATATATTATATATATATATAGGAACTAAATTGTATTTTTATAAATGTTCAGGACCTCTAATGAAAATTTGTTCAGTTGTAACTTGTAGCCTTGTACAGTTCATCAACCATACAAGTTTGTGCCCATCTCTTTGGACCATAAGTTGATGAATCACCTCCAATAATTTAAATTATATACTACAATTTAACCTTGAAATCATGGAATTTTTCTGATCCTCTACATCTCTTCACCTACCATCACCTTGCTCTTCAATGGTGATGTCCTCCTTTTTCAAACTCACTCTCATCCTTATCATCACCTCCACCCCAACCTCCTACGGTGAAACCGCCATAACCACCGCCACTTGCACCGCTATCCACCAGCAAAACTCCCCAATCTCCAAATGCAATTACGTAAAAACAAACACCGGGTGTGTCCCAAAAGGATACATCAACTACCTACAAATTTTCTACTGTAATTTTTCACAGTTTCCTCAACTGGGTTTCATCTTTCTACTTCTATGGCTCGTTGTTCTGTTCTATATTCTGAGCAACACAGCGTCGGAATACTTCTGCCCTGCAGTCGAACACTTGTCCAAAACACTCAACCTCTCTCCGGCAATCGCGGGAACCACTTTGCTTCCATTAGGAAACGGATCAACAGATGTCTTCTCCAGCATAATCGCCTTCACCACATCCACCGACGGCGGAGATATCGGGCTTAACAGCATATTAGGTGGGGCGATTTTCGTTTCCACCGTCGTCGTCGGAGTTCTCAGCCTATTAATCACATACCGTCGGAGAATCGTCATCGTTGATAAACCCAATTTCATCCGGGACGTTGTGTTTCTTCTCTTCACACTCTCTAATCTCTTCATAATCATCATCATCGGAAAAATCACCTTTTGGTCATCACTTTTTTTCGTTTCCACTTACATAATTTACATCTTATTAGTTTCTTACATGCATTTCAACACCATGAAAAAACACAAGACAGTCATTGATGTTGCTGATAAGGATGATCAGATTCAGAGCACAAGAGTACCATTATTCGGTTCTGTCGTCGACGAAGAAAATGTTATACATCCTGCAGAAAAGCCTGTACATTTTGAAGAACAAGTTGTACCCGATGACCCAAAAAGATGGATAGTCACATTTTTCTATGTAATCAACATGCCAATTTACATACCCAGAAGGCTTACAATACCAGTGATAACAAAAGAGAAATGGTCCAAACCCTTTCTTGTGATTTCTGTCGCATTAGCGCCATTAATGGTAGCTCTAATCTGGAACACACAATATGGGAAACTAGGGTTAAAATCTAGCATGGTGATATACTTTGTTGTGGGGTCAATTGGGATAGCTTTAGGGACTTGTACATTTGCCTTCACAAGTAGTACAGCGCCACCACAAAAGTGTATAGTTCTTTGGTATGCACTAGGGTTTCTAATGAGTGTCACTTGGACATACATAACTGCTGATGAATTAGTCTCTTTGTTAGAATCCCTAGGGAGCATAATTGGAATGAGCCCTTCAATTATAGGGCTCACTATCCTAGCTTGGGGGAACTCAATTGGAGACCTAACATCCAATGTGGCTATGGCTGTTTATGGTGGGGCCCATGGGACTCAGATTGCCATGTCAGGGTGTTATGCTGGACCTTTGTTTAATGTTCTCATTGGATTAGGGTTTTCGTTTGTTTTTGTATCATGGTCGAATTATCCTGCTTCTTATGTCATTCCTGAAGACCCTAATCTGTGTGAAACTATCGGGTTTTTGAGTGTTGGATTGCTTTGGGCTCTTGTGATTTTGCCCAAAAGAGATATGCGACTTGATTATACACTCGGAGGTGGACTTTTGGTGATATACTTTTGCTTTTTATTCATAAAGCTTGCGAGGGCTCTTGGATTGTTGGGTGCTTAATTCTTTGCTCTAACTTGTCAGATTAAGTGTAAGTAATAGTCGATGTATTCTAAGCATTTTTGTTTTAGTAATTTAGTGAAATGTATGATTCATCAAATGAATTGTGTTTACGAAAGTTTGACATTTCAATATTCTATGATGAATCTTTTCATTTTTTAAAACAATACACTGCGTAAATTATAGATACAGCCAAATGGGTATGTGATGTGAATGCAAGTTGCATAATGAGTGATACCGTTTTGTATGTATATGATTCATGCGAAGTTCTTTTACACGTGACATAAAGTGGTTGGTATCAAATTGTCCACTTTCTATCAATATGTTAGGCAATAAACTATGGTAGCCAACCATTTAATCAAATAGACTAATGGTTCTTAACCAACCATACGTATAAAATTCTTTTGAAAAAAAGGTTGAGATGACTCAGAACAAAAAATAAAAAGGTTTGAAACTAAAACACATACTGAAGTAAATACTATAATCTTGTCTTAATAAAGATCGAACCCGATGCCACGTAGAAGCATTAATTTCTTTTGTGATTGATCTATAGACTTTGAACAATGAGCCAAGCAATGCCCTTAATTTGTCCTCATTAATAGTGCCAAATTCGATGTTGATATTGTCTTTGAAACAGGATAAGTAGTGGACAGGAATCAACCATCTGGATGTACTGCAATAGAATCTTACATAAATTACACTTTTAGTCCTTATGAGTGGATGTGATCAGGAAAATAGCCTAAACAAAATTGCATAATTAATTTTAGTTTGACAGAATTTTTTTTGATTTAAATGATAATATTGAGGATGCAAACAAATAGAGTATACTGAATACTACCAAGGCCGCCTAAAATCAAGAAATAAGCAACCACATTTGGACACTGATACTTTATCATGAAAACTCTATCAAAATAACAGTAAAAACCACAAGAACACTTAAGACGTTTAAAAACCCACTACCACCAATAATAAAGCAATAATGAGTCTTTATATATATATATATATATATATATATATATATATATATATATATATATATATATAGAGAGAGAGAGAGAGAGAGAGAGAGAGTGAGTGTGTGTGTTAGGTTCATTTATTCTAATTAATTATTGTGTGGATGTAGGAATGATCATTGTAGACCAATTATTTCAACAATATGATTAGGGGTATAATAGTAATCTTGATCACACTTAATTATAGTAAACATTTAAAACATTTAATATCCTTTAAATTAGGGATTTAGTTTCTCAACCCTACAAAACCACCAATCCCTCATCACCATTAACACACGTCGTCGCCCGATTTAGGGATTTAGAAAGAAAACTTGATTTCATGATTCTTCTTCCTTTCTTCCACTCACTGATCTTCTGCACCAACATCTTCATCGACATGATTTTGTGAATTCTACTCGATTTACAATCAGCTCCATATCTCTCATGATTTGTTCTTACACAGAAACCCGTGAATTCAAAACTATCGTCGACAAGCTCTCTCACGCCTTGAACACCCAACTAGGTATTGCCAAGGACGATGTCGTCCTCTTCTTCGCCCCAACTTAATCCAATACTCCATCTCTCTATTCTCTATAATCGCTCTCGGTGCCATAGACACCATCGTCATCACCATTCTAGAATTATATCAAAACATTGAAATCTTTGGCCTTCTGGTTGTGTTTTAAGGATCAAAAAGTTCAAGAACATGATGTTTTTCATATAACAATTTGATTTCTAAATCTCCATCTGTCACAGAACTACCTGATGTTTCGATTCAAGGAGATGATACTACTCCCAATTGAAAATTCTGCTGTCTCTTATCCGCCTTCCGGATGAACCGAGACCACCCCGGTCCCAACTAATCTACAATCATTTGGGTCACCGGATTCCCACTGGTTACTGAACCTAATCTCAATCGCTTCGTTGCTCCCAACGACTCCCAAAGGAAACTTCCGTTATCTACTACTATTCTAATTACCTTGCCATCCTGGCTCTACACATTCTAAGATACTCGATCCCCTATCTTGACCACAAGGTCTCTACCAGGTCCAACCTGCACTACTACTCACATACGGGCCTCGCCCACGGGTCTCACTCAACTATACCTTGGAGCGGCCCCTCCCAAGGTCTCACCTCTTTAAGGTCATGCGGACCAACTCCCTACTAATTTTCTATGAACTATCCTTTCCTGATTCCTATCATGCTAACTAGGAAATACCGGCCTCGCCCAAATTCTGCTAACTAGGAGATACGGGCCCTCGCCGTCACTCCTCTGACTTAGGAGATACGAGCCCTGGCCCACACTCCTCTAACTTAGGTACTAACAAATGTTGCGACAAACCCGCAGTCTCACTACACTTTCCAGGCTACCTCTACTATTGTCTGCCAATTTGAAGGCATCCCATGCCGGTCGCTTTCACTATCTATGCCCTGACTCACTCGAACCCTGCTGACAATCCTCCCACCTGGTTTTTCCCAAACCAGACATCTTCAATTGTGAAAACGCGAACTCCACGCTGAGAAGTTTCCTAAACTCCCAACTCGCACAACCACTTGAGTCGCCTGCCTTCCTAATGAGAATGCAACTCATCTTGAATCCACGCTCCCTTCTGCTCCTGAATTTCTGGGAGAACTCTCCCCCACTTTTATTCAACTTGATCCTTACAGTTTATTACTTGGATAGGATTTCCAACCCTCCCAACCATCCAATAACTAACCAGCTAATAACCCAATACTCACTGCTGCTAATGATCCACAACTCTATAGTATCAATTGTGATCCACCTTTGAAGATTAATAGAATACTTCCAGAATCCCAATCACACACTTGCTACAATGACTGCATCCTGAGAACCTACTCTAAAGGGAAACCTTCGAACTACTACTATAATTTTCCAGGGTATGCAGATGACATTTAATCCGAACACAAACAGGAATAATTCATATACAAATACTCATAAAAATGCAGTACCATAACAATATAATCACGAATAAAAATTAATCAGTAGAGCAAAAGATACGCACCTACCACATCCGGTGCTGCTCGCGGCTCCACTGTAGATAGCTAAAAAGCCCTGCTCTTCCCTGTCGTCGCCTCAGCTTGTCCTTGACGACCATTAGTGATCCTCAATGTTGTAGGGGCAGGTGCCATCACCTGTCCTGCTGGAAACAAACTTGAACAATGAGCCTTCTTGTGGTCCCTCTGACTGTAATGGAAACATATCAGGTCTGATCCCTGGGTTGTGGTAGCAGTACAATCCCTGCTGAAGTGACCAGTTCGTCCGCACTTAAAGCAGCCAGAATCACCACCACTACAACTCTTACACGCACCCTCATGCGTCCTGCCACAACGACTGTAGCCTCGAACATCCCCCGATCTCCCATCTGGCCCCTTAGGCCTCTTGCCGGAACCTGTGGCTATCTAAACCTCATCTGGTTTCCTCTTCCTCTCCATCTCCAAATCGATCTCTTTCCCTGGCACGAGCAATCATATCCTCCACTGTCTTGCAGTTGGACCTACTCACAAACTGCCTGATGTCATGTCACAACTGGAAATTTTGTGTCATGTAATCTATACATTCAACCTAATGTGAATCAAAAACTTCAATCAAATACAATATACAAGCACTACAAGTAGTCATCAAACAATTGGAGACCCTAGAAGTTCTTGTTAAGTCCATTTTGGACTAGGACTTCCTATTTGGATCCAAATGGACCAATAAGCTTCCAATTGGACTATCATGGGCTTAGGACCCTAATTGGGCCCTAATTGGACCCACACTAATTTATTTCAACATTTTAGGTCATATTGGGCCTAGAATGAAATAAATCACAAGCTTTGATCCATAATTTAACCTAACCTAGCTTAATAAAGCATAAAAATCACAATTTTATTTTATAAGGCCAATAAATACCCTAAACTACCTCTAATGTTGGGCTTAGGGGCAAAAAGCCCAATTTTTCCTTCTTCCCTCCCCATTCTCGGCCCAAGCCCAAGGAAAAGGGAGAGTTGACCTTGGGTTGCCACCTCACCTTTATATGTTGGACTTCCATGCATATAACTCATGTTTCCAAGCAAACATCATATCAAGATCACTTCTTTTTCTCTCCTCTCTCCTTGTTTCGGCCGAGAGAACACCACACACACACAAAACACTCACAAACTCTCTCTAAAATTCACTCAAAGCTTCTTCTTCTTCTTCATCCAAAGACTCGAAATTTAGGTAGCATTCAAGGAAGTTCTTCCACAAAAATCATCATCTAAGGTAAGGATTTGCTTGGATCTATGACTTATATTCTTTGTTTATCAAAAACCTCTTCCTAATCCATGCAAAAATCATGATCTTGCACTCTAGAAACCCCATAATCTCGAAAAGTTCATCAAGGAGTGCAAAGGCCAAAAATCACTTCATTTCTTCCAACCTTTCATCAAGAACCGAAACTACCCCCTAAGGTGAGCTTCATACCCCCTATTTTCTGTTTTTATGAGTTTTGTGGGGGGGGAATACAAGTGAAAGTGTAGATCTATATGTGTTTTGTATGCCTTGTATGATTTCCATGCTTATATGTATGCTTTTATGTGTTTTTATGTTGGATCTAGCCTTAAAACCCATCAAAACCGAGATATATCTTGTGTTAAATGATTTTAGCTTCAAATATATTTCTAAACACAAAGTGTTTCAAGAAAAATGGCTAAGTGGTTTAGTAATAATTTTCTTTGGGTTAAAAACACAAATTTTGGGCTTAAAATGTGAAAAATGCAAAAATAAGGGCCCAAATTGACATTTCACAGATTCTGATGGATGAAGTGTGCCAAAACAGTTTCAATAAATAAATTTCTGGAAATATACTCATTTAGGGGATTAAAAACATAAATTCCAAGCTTAATGGGCTAAAAATGAAAATTTCGGCCCAATAAGGCCCATTATGCGAATTTTTCTGTTTTGGAGGGCCAAAACTGTAACTTTCTGTAAAACAGCAGACTATAAGTGTTCCAAATCCTTTTCAAAGG